GAAGCCTGTGGCATCCTGATGTGCAGATGACACAACCTTGCTTATTGGAAGTGGAGGAGGTCTAAAGGTACTTACTGATGAAGAACAGAGACTACAGCCTTGAGTAAAGGAAGCAAAGTCATTACAACTGGGCCAATAAACACATCATGATAGACAAAGAAAAGATGGAAGTTGTTAAGCATGTCACTGATTTACATCTGCAATCAACACACAAGCAGCAGTCAAACAACTGAAATATTGCCCTGGACAAATATGTTGTACAAGACCTTGTAATAGTGCTTTAAGAGCAAAGAGGTCACTTTGAGGACTATGGTGAGAATGACGAAAGCCCTTGAATTTTTTTTCTGGCTTCATACGACTATGAAAGCTGGACCATGAATAAGGAAGCTTAGATAAGAATGTATTACTATGAATTACGATGTTGGAGAAGAATATTGAATACACCATGAACTTCCAGAAGGAGAACGACAGCTGTTTGGGAAGAAGGACAGAAGACTTCTTTCTTAAAACTGAAGATGCTGAGCCTTCCTCTCACTTACTGTGAACATGTCATCAGGAGACAGCAGTCCCTGCAGAAGACCTGAGACGTGGTAACATTGCCGGCCAGCATACAGAAAAACACACTCAAGAAGAGGAACTGGCGCAGTGGCTACAATGGCCTTGAACATCACAACAATTGTAAGGATGGGGAAATAGTCAGCAGTATTCTGTGCTGTTGAACATAAGCTTCCTATGCATCAGAACTGACTGGATGGAACAAAACAACAACAACAAAGATTTCTCTTTCTCAAATGATTCTTATCCAGTATCCTTCTTTCCACTGCCCCTCTTTGCTTCTGCTACCCCTGTGCCCGAAGCTAAATGGCAGATGCAAAGCCTATACTCGGGGGCTCATATTCTTCCTGCACACTGACTTCATCCCATCTCTCTTGCCTATATCCTTTGATCTCAATAGTCCTATTCGTACCATACAGGCGACAACTTTCTGGACAGAAAACCAAAGACATGGACTAGCTCATGCCACGCTAGTGTTACCGCCCGCAACGTTACCACGTCTCAGGTCTTCTGCAGGGACTGCTGTCTCCTGATGACATGTTCACAGTAAGTGAGAGGAAGGCTCAGCATCTTCAGTTTTAAGGAAGAAGTCTTCCGTGCTTCTTCCCAAACAGCTGTCGTCCTCCTTCTGGAAGTTCATGGTGTATCCAATATTCTTCTCCAACATCGTAATTCATAGTAATACATTCTTATCTAAGCTTCCTTATTCATGGTCCAGCTTTCATAGTCATATGAGGGGATCTCCAATTGTCTACAGATGGGCATTGGGTTGCCACTCATGTCCCTACCCCCCTTCACCTTGGGTATGATTTTGTTCTGGGTCTTAGATGCCTCGTATCTGATCACATCAACACCTCATGATCACACAGACTGGATAAGAGACTGTGGCCATAAGAATTCGCTATATTTCAGAAAACAGCTATACCAATGTGTTAGAATAAAGTCTATTGATTGGTTTGGGACTTTAGGGCATTCCTCAATATGTATGCATCCATATTCCCCAAAGAGTTTCAACAAGCTGTATGATAATTATCTTGAAATAAAAGCACTGAAAATATCACCCCTCTTTAAAATATCTTCTTCATTTGTCTCCAATGAGATCTTTTGTATGTAGAAACAAAGAGTTAGGTACTGAGTTGATTAGAGATGAGAAAAAGCGACGGAGTCCTAAGTTTACATAGGACCCAGGAACGTATAAGTTTGCATCAGGCATAAACACGTCTATACTACTTCCAATAACTAGACTTGATCTGACACCTTTCTTTCCCTTTGGTGATTTAAGAGTGTTCCATTAAAAAAAAATCTTTCTTCGGTTTTGTATGTAGTTATACACTCAGCATGCACCCTTTAGCATTCATTATACATAAGTTATACGGATAAATGACACATAAAACAATATCAACAACATATGTTTTGCTTTCCTGAAGTTGTGAAGGTCATTCAAACTTGCACCAAAACATTCAGTAGGTGCTACAACTACCTGATATTCAAGTTTCTTACCGCACTACTTCATTACCTTCTTTCAACTATCCCTAAGGCACTCAGTTAATGAGGTCCAGGGAGTTAGAACTGCTTGGGGATTGATAAAATATTCTTGAGTTTTACAGGGGATCCTGGGTAGCAACATAAAAAAGCAGTATTTAAACATCCATTTCCAGTCTCTCCCCACTCCCCAAAGATTTTCTACCTTGGAGTCTGAGAAATCAATACAGGGAGCAGGTGTTTGATCTCAGTTGTTAAACAAAGAGAGATCACAGAAGACTGAGCCTGAGCTTTGGAGAAGGGGCTTCACCACCAGAAAAAGACTATTGATGGTGCCAGCTGGCTGACTTCCTGGGATCTCAGGTCTGGCCATAACACTAGCTTGGCATGAGCTAGTCCATGTCTTTGGTTTTCTGTCCAGAAAGTTGTCGCCTGTATGGTACGAATAGGACTATTGAGATCAAAGGATATAGGCAAGAGAGATGGGACGAAGTCAGTGTGCAGGAAGAATATGAGCCCCCGAGTATAGGCTTTGCATCTGCCATTTAGCTTCGGGCACAGGGGTAGCAGAAGCAAAGAGGGGCCATGGAAAGAACGAATCTGAGCCACAATGAATAAAGCTTGTTAGTGAATTTGAAATAACTGTTGAACCTGCTAAAGTTCCCCAAAATATAGTTTCCAAGCAGAGCAACTGGTGGCAGAAAGTCATATCTTAAGTTTCTCCTATACTCCAAATGCACCCATACCCTATCAGAGACACCACTTTAACTCTGGTCAGGAGCAATGGTATTTTTAATAATCTAAAAATTTGTGCCTTGTAAGTCTGTAATTGAGAAAGATTTCAAGTAGTTAATTTGCAGAGTGTTTTCCTCCATCCAGCCTGAAGGAAATCTTTCCTACTCTTGCCGTCTCCCTTCTTCAATAGCATATGTTTTTATTTTCTTCCCTGGACCCCTACTCTAAACTATGTTCATCCTATGTTCCTTCCATTCCATTTACACCCATTTATACCCGACCTGCTGACAATAGGAAGCGTAAGCTCTGATCCCTAAGAGATTATATCTCGAGCTAATAGCAGCAAGAAGGTGGGAAATGAGGACTTCCGACGCTTCTCTCTAGCATTTCTTTTCTCCCCTTCTTTTCAGGGATGTACTTTTTTCCTTTCCCTTGAACTAAGTTAACATGTATCTGCCTTCTAGTTCGTGATTTGCTTTCCCTTCCCCTCCCACCCTGGGAACCTTAGTGTGAACGTGTTTTCTCCGATTTTTAAAATAGGGGTCTCATGAAGTATTTGTTCCTTTTGACTGCTTATTTCACTTAGCATAATGTCCTCCAGATTCATCTGTGGTATCAGATTTGCCAACGTATCTTTTGTCATTTAAACCTCCACTCATTCTGTCTAATGTTAAGTAAATGCTAGTTGTGTGTTGATCTAAATTTTTGGTGTGAAGCACTGTTATAGATTGGCTATCTGACTTTAATCACATTATCAACATTTTAAGTGCCCCATTCTTCATTTGCAAGCTAAGATAATTATACTAACCTTGCACAATTTTTCTAAGGTCTACTACATAAATTACCATGTTCATGGTACAGTGCCTGGAATGAATAGCTATTCGTTACTATGTAAATTCCTTTTCCATAACACTATTTTATGTGCATGTCAAACATATTTCATGCTTAAACTTTGCGTTAGATCATTAAACCATGCAAATTGCCTGCCAATTACCCTCTGCGACTTTCACAGCTCCTTGGAAATCAACTTTGACCATTTACACAGCAGAAAATGAAGACTATAGTTGACATTCAAGTGGACACTGAGTTAACTGCATTGAAAGTTCAGAGTACTGGTGTTTATAGTGAAAGAGAACATAACTACGTATATGTTGATATGTAGTTCTCCATACTTACCCATTTACTGATTCAACTAAGCCATCAATACATCATGAGGGCTATTAACTTTATTCTAGCTATGGTTATTTGCCAATGAAATGCCACCTATCTGGGAAGGCAGTTTATGAGGACTTAGATCCTGGAATCTAGACAAATATCAGATCTTAGTCCAACTCCCACTTTAACTCTGTACTTACTCCCTAATCTGGAAAAAAATAATTCCCCTATGCCTCAGTTTCTTCATCTGCTATTAGATAGTTATACATAGGAGTTTCTTATATGAAGTATACATTGTTAGTTCTAAGTAAAATTCAACTCTAAATTATAGGAAAAACAAGGTAAGCACCTGCTGTATAGCAGGGCACAGTTCAAGTGCTAGCTTTATAGAAGTAAACAAATCAAACCTCCTGCCCTTTTTTTGGCTTACATTCTTAATTTTCCATTAAGCCTGGGAAGATCACTATTCAGGGGAATCAGGAGACCTAACTTAGTGTATGAACGCTGCTCATTGAGTATCCTCTTCTGAGTCTTCATTTCCCAATCTATAGATGACTGGGCTCTGTCTATGTCATGTCTCTTTTGTTCCAGGACATCATCTCAAAGATTCAACCTTGCACTTGGAGATGTAGTTGTGAATGACGGAAATGATAGCCTCCCCTTCTACCTGGATCCATAGCAGTTGGAGTCTTAGTCTTCTGGAGACTGAGAGTTAGACTGGCTGAGGAATAGGGCTTTGATTTAGCATTCTATCATTAGAAATATGTTTACAAATAACCATTTACTCATCGTCAAGTTGTTTCTAGACTCTTGTGAGCTGAGTTGTATCTATGAGCTATCTGTACGAGTCAAGGCTTTTCAGAAAGTGAGATCTGAGAGATCAAGTAGAGTTGGACTGTGTCTAAGGTTAGAGGCTATGCAGTCATCGAGTTAAACAAATACAGCTAAATTAGCAAAAGTAAAAAAGAAAGTCACGCAAAAGATGAAAAAGGAAGAATATATTAAAGAAAATCCTGGAAAAAAGGTTTACTTACATGGATGGATAAAGATAAGTATGGCCAAGAAGTATAATAATGTTTCTCTTAACGCTTAGGTTACAGGGACTGGATCAAAACAAAATTAAAAATATATATATGAGAGTGGTTACTAGATGCCAAAGAGACCTATGGATATAAGAGAAAAGTCACGAAGAAGATCTGTAATTTTTGGTGGTAGAACAGAGCTACCGTCAAACCACAGTGCCACAAGAACTTGAATTTTCTATCCTCCCATGCTATTTCTTATAGGTGTTTTTCATTAATTGAGTTTAGCAAAAAGCCATAAGGCTAAGATACTGGTTGATGTAGTCTAGAAAGGTCAGAACAGAGTTACGAGTGTGGAAAATATTCAACTCCCTCATTTTAATCTTTTGAAGTTTCATGACTTTAACAGCAATTATTTGTCTAATTATTAATTATTTGTCTCTTTATCAAAATATAAGGCTAACTTCAGGCCAGGAGGGGCAGTTCCTGGAAACACAAAGGAACCAGTGGGGGCATAGTCATAAAGGTCAATGTACAGACCTGGAATCATGTAAGTTTTTGTTTTGTTTTTGCTAGTTTTTTCAATCTTTTATTTTCTTTTGGTTTTGTCTCCATTATTGTTGGTTTGCCTACTTTATATAAGATAGGCACGGGAAGCAAGTTCTAGGAGAAAGCAATAGGAACTATGGTTCCGGAGGGACTTGTGGGGAGGAGGAGGTTGGGGGGGGGGGAAGGAGTGGTGAGCAAAGAACGCCATGACAAGGGAACAACTAGGAAATAAAAATCAACCATGAGGAGGACATAGAGATCCTGGGGATGTTGGAGCAACAGCAATCTAGCTGAGAGGACTTACTAAGAGGCAGAAGAAGGGTAAGCATGATGGTAGGGCTAGAAGAAGGTAAAAGAAAACAGAGGAAAGATCTAGGAAGCAAAGCTATGGATCAAGATATAGACATAGGTATGCACTTATGTAAATATATTAATTCATAAAAATAGAGGTATTGGCCTATACACATATATTTATATGGCAATACATTAAGGAAATGGACAGATTTAGGGCCTCTGCTCAAGCCCTCCCTCAACACAAGAACAATTTGTTCTAACAACCTAGCATTCTGTATAGTCACCCTCCTGAAAAATCACTGAAGACAAAATTGGGTGCATAAGCAAATGTGGTGAAGAAAGCTGATTGTGCCTGGCTATCAAAAGATACAGTATCTGGGGTCTTAAAGGCTTAGTTAAACAAGTGGTCATCTAGCAGAGAAGCAACAAACCCACATGAAAGAAACACAGCAGCCTGTGTGATCATGAGGTATCGATGGGATCAGGCAACAGGCATCAGAAGAAGTAAAACAAAACAAAATCCATATTGTTGAGAATGAGAGGGGTCGGAGCAGAGACCCAAAATCCATCTGTAGAACATAGACATCCCCTCACAGAAGGGTCACAAGGAAGGGATGAGTCAACCAGGGTGCAGCATAGCACCAATGAAACACACTATATTCCTCTGGTTCTTTGAGGATTGCTCACCCCCCACTATTATGACCGCAGTACTGCCTTTCAGTACTGGCTAGACCACAGCATGTATACTGGTATAGATAAGAGCTCACAACACACAAAATCCAAGTCAGATAAACCCCTCAAGAACAGAAATGGAAGTAGCTATACCAGGAGGGTAGGAGAAAAGAGTGAGGGGAGGAGAGAAGGAAAGGAGAACCAATCACAATGATTGATGAATAACCCCTTCCCCAAAAGGGGGATGAGCAACAGAAATGTGGGTGAAGGGAAACAGCGGTTGGTGTACGATATGAAAATAATAATCATTTATAATTTATCAAGGCCACAAAGGGGGAAAGGGGGCAGGGCGGGGCGAGAGGAGCTATTACCAATGGCTCAAATAGAAAGTAAATGTTTAGAAGATGATGGTAACATATGTATAGATGTGCTTGATACAAATGATGCATGGATTGCTATAAGAGCTGTAAGAGCCCCCAATAAAATTACATATATATATTTCTTTCCAAAAAATTGTTTGCTAGGAACTAGAGTAGACAATAACTTCTAGAAGAACTATATAATTCTAACTCGCTCTTGCTTCACTCATTCATCAATTCCATCTTTCTTTTTTAAAAAGTTTGTCCATTTACATCATTCTCATTCCCTCTGTTCATTTCAGGATTTTGAAGAGAAGCCAACTCCCTTTTGCTCCAGACACAATAGCACTAGGATCCCTGGGACCTGGCAGCAACAGCTCCTCTACCTTCCTCCTGAGCGGCATCCCTGGGCTAGAGAGCCTGCATCTCTGGATCTCCATTCCCCTTTGCTTCATGTACCTGGTTGCTATCCTTGGCAACTGCATGATTCTGTTTGTTATTAAAACAGAACCCTCACTCCATGAACCGATGTACCTCTTCTTGTCCATGCTTGCTCTGACTGACCTCGGCCTGTCCCTTTGCACCCTCCCAACAGTGCTGGGTATCTTTTGGCTGGACCTACGAGAGATTGGTCATGATGCCTGTTTTACCCAGCTCTTCTTCATTCACTGCTTATCATTCCTGGAGTCCTCCGTGCTCCTGTCAATGGCCTTCGACCGTTTTGTAGCCATTTGCCGCCCCTTGCACTATGCATCCATCCTTACCAACACAGCCATCGGCAGGATTGGTCTGGCTTCCTTGGGCCGGAGTGTAGCACTCATTTTCCCCTTGCCTTTTATGCTGAAGAGATTCTCTTATTGTGGCTCCTCCGTCCTCTCACACTCCTATTGTCTCCACCAAGAAGTGATGAAACTGGCCTGTGCTGACATCAAGGCTAACAGCATCTATGGCATGTTTGTTATTGTTTCCACAGTGGGTGTAGACTCACTGCTCATCCTCTTCTCCTACACCCTGATCCTGCGCACCGTACTGTCCATTGCTTCCAAGACGGAGAGACTTAAAGCGCTGAACACCTGTGTGTCCCACATCTGTGCAGTGCTTCTCTTTTACACTCCAATGATAGGCTTGTCTGTCATCCACCGCTTTGGGAAGCAGGCACCTCATCTGGTCCAGGTGGTCATGGGCTTTGTGTATCTTCTAGTCCCTCCCCTAATGAACCCTATTGTTTACAGTGTGAAGACCAAACAAATTCGAGATCGGGTGACCCGAGCCTTTTGTCACTAGCTAGGTCTGGTCTTTGAGGCAGTGTTTCCTTAAATGTGCCCTAATTCCTCTCTCGTTTATCAGAAGCAATTTGCATGTAATGGCGAAAACTTTTATTTACTTAACTATATAGAACTCTCAATTTGGTGGGATGGAAATTCATCACATATAAAGTAATAATCAGGGAAGCCTGGTGGCTTAGTGGTTCTGCAGTAGGCTGCTAACTGCAAGGTCAGCAGTTCAAAACTACCAGCCAATCCATGGCAGAAAGATGAGGCTTCCCAATCCCACAAAGAGTTACAGTCTCAGAAACCACAGGGGCAGCTCGGCTCTGTCCGATAGAGTCCCTAAGAGTCACCATTGACTTGATGGCAGAGAGTTTTTGGTGCGATGTAACATAGTATTTTATTTCCAGGCTTAGTCATGGAAATACTACTAGCCCACATGATTTTCCAGTGGCTTGGCACTTCATCAGTAAAGAGTCTATTATTTTGTTCTTGTAACTAGGTAGACCTTCGTAACTGCCTCAATGAACTGAATGATGTAAAAGTGACTGTGAGACGGATACTAAGCAAATCATCATATGCTATTGGACAGGGTTATGAGAGAGAAGAGTTGTATAGCCAGCAGCTCCAGGTTACTGTCAGAGTATAAAGACTCCTCATCAAGCCAATGGAAACAACTGGCCACAGTGACTGTGAGAAGTATTCAAAAAGGCCCTGCAGTATCTGGGACCAGAATTGAAAGCAAGATTACGATTGCTAAGCAAGTCTGCTCACTTTTCATCTCGGAAAAACCTAGAGCAGAAGGTAGAAATTAAAATCACTATAGAAGCTGTTCCATGAGGTGAGTGAGCTAAGTAAAACACATGAAAGAGGAACAACAAGCGGGGGAGGGAGGTGATGACAAACTGGACCATAAGGGTCTGACTACTCACTTCCAGAGTGCTAGGATGACATAACCAAATAGTCTGATTCTGAAAGAAAATAAGCATTCTGAACTTATTTGAAAGCCAATACGTTTTTCGTTAATTTTGTTCCATTTTTTTTGTTTCCTAAAAATATCCCCTGGAATTTTTTTCCAGTTGTGATTTGAGTGAAGGTTTACAGAGTAAGTTAATCACACATTTAATAATTCATATATATATATTGTTTGTACTATTGATTATTATCTGCACAATAGAATAGCACGCTTCCCACTTCTTCTCTGTATTAATAATTTCTTTCTAGGCTTCTTTCCTATCCTTTTCCACCTTCTGATATTTGTTCATGAACAAAAGTGTGCTTTTGATGTCATACTCACTTGTTCGAAGGACCCTGTGCCTCCTTTTCTTCATTGTTGTTCACTTTATAGGCCTGTTGATTGTTTGGCTTAAAGGTGAGACAAAAGAGTGAATTCAGTTCCAGAGTTTAAGTGATTTTACCAGTCTCTATCGAAATAAGAGCCTAGTCCTTTTTATTACTTTGAAATTTATTCCCCATTTTCCTCTCACTCAATCTAGGTCCTCTCATCATGATCCCTGTCTAGTTCTTAGGGTCTCAGGACCATGAATACTATTTGTATGGTGCATTAGTGTTTTGGACTAATTGCTTTTACATCTTTGATTTTCTTTACTCTGCTTTGCTCCCGATGGGGAGAAACTAGTAGCTATATCCTAGGTGGTCACTCAGAGCCTTGGTGGTCTAGTGGTTATGAATTGGGCTGCGAACTGCAAGCAAGAAGCATGAGGGTTTTTACTCCTGCATGGAAACATATGTACAACTGTGCTTAATACAGTTGATGTACGGATTGCCATAACAGCTCTAAGAGCCCTCAATAAAATAATTTTTTAAGTTAGTCTCAGAAACTCACAGGGGCAGTTCTACTCTGTCCATTAAAGCTATTATAAGTTTCAGTTGACTCAATAGAAGTGAAGTTTTGGATTGTTGGAGGTAATCACTCACAGGTTTTTAAGATATCAGCTGTCATTTACCAAAACAGGATGTAGAACCTTGTCTTTGTGGCCTATGTTATGCCAACTGACTGTTGTCCCCAGAGACTATGGACCCGAGCCACCAGGATCCTCTACTTATACTTTCAAGGTATTTGGTTACATCTAATGAAGTTTCATAAATTTTCCTGCTGTATATTTTATATATTCATAAAGACATACATATTTATAGTAAATAGAAGTACGTATGTGGAAATATCTCTGTCAAAACTTATATATTCCTGTGTGTACCCTCTTAGGCTTCACATCATGTTCAGATTGAGGGTGTTATCTATGTATCCACTCATAGATTGTAGTTATTACTTTTCTTGCAGAACTGGGTGTGTAATAGTATTTATTCTTGTTGCTTTCAATCCTTATCATACTCCCCGTGCCTTATTTTGCTTTAATCATTTTGTGTTCACTGTGTTGTATTAACTAGCAGTCTCTATTTTTTTATCTGGGGTCTAATACCCATTTCAATTACTATATAGAATTCACAGACAATATTCATGGATTAAAGGGTTTATTAAGAAAGTTAACAGCTTATAATGCAAGTGAAAACTGCTTGAATACAGTTGTTCAACAGGTCACGTTACAAAGTTCTTTCAGGGTGCCTAATAGATGCACAAAGCGTATAGCCTTCGATTATAAGCATCAACCCAAAGGTGTTCCACTCCAGCTATGTGGGTCAGCACGCCCGGTTCCCCATTAAGTGCCCCAAAGCACCCTATTCCACAAGACAGTCTCCTGGATGATCCTGCCACAAATCGCTCAGCTTGCCTTGGGAAGTAAAGTCCCGTGGGGTTGGGAAGTCCATCACTCGGCTCCATACTCTGCCTCCTGGCTCTGCTGCTGGATCTCCGAGTTCAGAGGATGAGCTTCCCCCTGGTTCTTGCTGGTAATTAAGCTCTCTCTTCCTGCTGCTCAGAGGGTCCCTTGTAAAAGGAACAGGCTGGCAGTGACTTCTATTCACAATTACTCATAGATACTAGCATTATCTCCCCCCGTTTTCTTACCAGACCCATGTAGGAAAAGGATATTTGGTGTAAGAGACTTTGCTTAGAAGAGCTACATTAAATTATTAACTGCTCCTGCAGAACACTCCTTGACTCTACTGGCCACTGTCCACTTCATATTTGAAGGATTATTTTCTCCACTTCAAATCTATTTTTCCCCTGACCATACATATAAAAGCTTGTAAGCCAGTCACTTCAAGAAGTGATTCCTTTATCTTCCCCCATTTTAAATATTCAGTTTCTAAACTTTTTGTCCTTAACCCAGTAATGAGTAAAATGTCACATAATAAGATGAGTCTCCACTCAACATGAGGCGGGGGTGGGTAAAGGGATACCACTGGATAGATTTCTGTTTCTTTGGATGTTATTGGGAAAAGGGGTGGGACACGATTCCGGTACCACAGTATGGTTTGTTTTCACATCAACTAAAACTGTTTTGTTGTTGTTGTTGTTTCTGCTGGATGCTATCCCAGGACAAGGAATGCAGACTACTCTACCAGAATTTGGGATGGTCACTCAGAAAGAGACTGTAACTATTACCCTGAACCTGTATTCAAGGATTCCCAAGGGCCTCATGGGATGGATTGTACCTTATCCTCATCTGGCAAAACTGGGGCTCACTGTGAATATTGTTGCATTGCCTAGTGGTGGAGACAGTGCATCAGTTTTATACCTATGTAAGCTAACCCCACTCAACATGACTGAGACTGAAGTAAGGCTAGAAGCACTTGCTAGACTGTACTTACTACTAGTGATCTGAACTGGCACAGCAGCTGAGCCTGATGTCTCTTCCCAAAGTGAAATCACCTGGGCAAACAAATGACAAATGGAATGAAGGAGAAAGAATAGCTGAACGTAAAGGAATGAATCACTGGGATATGAAGCAGGGAAAAAGCTAATTTTTTGCTAATTCCTTGAGAAAGAGGCTCAGAGCAAAGGAATGAACTTTTCTCCATTCAAGTATGGATAGGTTAATGGCTAGAAGAGCCAGAGGGTGGCCTGAGTTACAGTCAATGAATAGAATCCTTCCAGCTATAATTCTTTATGGGCTTTATTATATTTCTGGACTTTATATGTTTGTGGCTATAATCCAATTTTGGATGAGATTCTCTACTAATGGACAGGAATAGGGTGACATTGAGACCTAACTTTAGTAGAGGGTGTGAACCAAGCCACACCCTTGTTTCCTTTAGGGCATTTTTGGCTGTACATTAGTAGAGGGTGTGACTCAGGTGCTATCTTTTCTTTTCCTTGGTACTAATATCACTTCAACTGGAAAGCCAGAGTCTATTTCCTGGCTGGGTTTTGGTAGAAGCAAGAAGACCTGCTATGATTTTGGGACATTTGTGGCTCTGCCTCTGGGCTCTACATTTAGCTCACCTCTGCCGGATCTCCGGATTCTGGGCTGAACAACACCCACCACTGTGTGAGACATGTCCTCATAGTTCCTGACTTTGTGAGAAATTGTAGTGAATTTCAGAACCCAAGGCCATGAAGGAATATGCTCAAGAGACAAGGGAGCAAGGGAAATGGAACAGAATAGGATCTCGAGAGAGTTGGACATTGGAGACATCATTACTCTCCAAATCTTTGGGATGAGCCTGGTTTAAATTACCACACTCACCTTGCTGTGATTGTATATTGTCTTCTCCTTTACCCAAAGTAATATATATTTATCCCCTAATTAGTTATTTGCCATCCCAAAGAATGTTTCTTTGGGGGCAAACATTTCTTAACTTCTTATAGCAGTGGTACCATATAATATTTTTCATTTTGTGATGACTAATCTCAGTATAATGTCTTCTTGGCTCACTTATGTTATGATTTGTTTCCTATTTATCATCATTCCTTTTCATCATTATTCTTAGAGATTGCAAAGTTATACTGTGGTGTACATGTACCATAGTTTGTTTATAAATCCATCCATTGTTTTGCAATTAGGCTCTTAGGTGGTTTCCATCTTTTTACTATTGTGAATAATACTATGATAGGAGTATGCATATATGTTTGTTGCATGATTATATCTAGGATAT